CAGCGCACAGTGGCTACCACAGTTTAGCCGACTGAGCTGCTGCTCTGAAGTTTAATAAGTTGTTTGTTATTCGATATTTTTAGTCTGAGCTACTCCTTTTATGATTTAAGAAATACATTAGAAAGGGGCTGGGTATAAAAATTATAAAAAAAAAAAGCCCAATATAAATAAAGCAATGAATTAATTAATTAATTAATGAACGAACGAACAAACAAATGTAAATGAATCATTGAATGAATTAATTATTAAAATTAATTTAATTAACTCTCAGTACCGTTAAATTTTTATTGTTCAAATGTTACCTGCTTTATTTAATACCGTATGAGATTATGAGTTGTGTTGTTAATTCTTTTTAGAATTCTATTTTTATAATTATATTTCTCACGCATTGTTAAATGTCTCAAACAATTTATAGGCCTGAAATTGGCAACAAAAGAAGAACACTGAGCCTGGACAAATTTGTACTGGTTTTTATAAAAAATTGTGTAGGCCTACCCGACTAAACTCACTGTGTGTGGGCGAAGACTATTAGGCTTAATATTTATTTCAAGTACTGAACTTTCGCATCTTTAGGACTTTAATATGGTTCTATTTACAATTGCAATGTCTGTGTGAAAAGGAAAGTGAAATCCAACATGTTCTAGTTTAATAACAAAAATCCCTTATTGTCTGTGTTGAGCAAATAAACGATAAAAAGAAAATATTCTCAACACTGCCGACCGACGCAGGCCTAAAAGTAAAATAGGCCCACTGTTCCTATTTAAACATCATACATTGACTGGTTAGGCATATCGGTAATAAACATTAGAGTTTTTGTTATGAAAATGTCTGAATATTTGGACTACCGTCTCATTGAATGTTGGTAACGTATTTCACTTTAAATGAGCAATTAGAAAAATAATTTAATTGTTAAGGAGATTCTCACACGAGTGATTAACTTTATGCATTAAGACCTCCCATTATGCTCTGAATATCGTACGATAACGCTGAAGATACTTATTATGGGATGGTATTATCAACGAACTTTATTGTTTCTCTTGAAAAACAGGCTCACTCATCATGTAGAGGTGTGAAACACAAACATTAGGCTGATAAAGTAGGACATAAATGTTTCAAGTTTATAGCAAAGGCAAACTGCCAATTTTTTAATCGGAAAAGAGAGATCTCTATTTAATGCTGGTGGCCTAAAAATCATTTAAAACAAGATAGCTTTATTTCCGATAAAATTGACAGCTTGCCTAACTGCAACATATTGAGAAAAAGCTTATCACGTGTATGGATGTTTGTGAGGTTACATGGAACGATGTTACGCCACGTTTCGTAGCCAAATTCTTTTTCCAGCATTTAGGCATACGGATAATAGGTTTACTTAATTGTTATCATTTGCAGAAATTATAAAAACTAGACGGATTTCTTACGATTGCAGACAACAACATAACAATAAACCGCGATTTACATTTAAAATAGGGAAAATTAATAAACACAATGCAATTTAAATAAAATATGAACAGATAAATCACAAATTACGACACCATTTATTATGTAATAAATAAAAATGATCTTGTGTGGTGTACCGGTATTGTTAAG